AGAGGGGCCTTTCAAGTCATGTCTGCCTCCTCCTACTCCTCTGCATAGTGCTTGTGTTGTGGTCTTCTCAACAGCCAACCTCCCAGAACCCCTGCGAACTCTGTGTGTGTGTGCATGCGTGTGTGTGTGTGTGTCCATATGAATGTGTATAATGTTGTAGGGTTATTCCCAGTATGTGGCATCCCCCCAAATCTTGCTGTATTTCTTTTTTGTGTCCTTCTCTCTTTTTCCGCCGCCTCTTATCTCTCATATCAGTATCTCTCTTTCTTTGTGATTAATACAAAAGAGATCTATAAAAATTATGAATACTGTCAACTTTGATTGTGTGTGTGACTCAGTTTAGTAGTCACCTCCATACTGGTATGAGAAGTCTGCAGCCCTGCCCCCATAATGTAGTTGATGACAAACTTGGGGCCTGGTCTCATCCTCCCCACTACACACACACACACACACACACACACACACACACACACACACACACACACACACACACACACACACACACAGCTCTTTGATAACTATGCCAATCGCTTCAAGCATGCGATAACACACAATTCCGCACACTAGCACTTACTGTGGATTGGGTTCAGAATAAAAGGTTAGCTAGCACTTTGATCCTTACCAAACAGAACACATGCTAACACAGTACCGCTGTGACACACCATACCATTGTGCTTTAAGGACTAGCCGAAGGGGAGCAGAAGACAGTGTGTACATCTTTTATGTGCTGTCAGTATCTTTAAAACTCTTCTCTCCGCATGCCCGATACTAGCTGCCTACTGTGAAATAATACAAGATGTTTAAACTAATGAAACTCTCAGCAGTGTATCAACCTTCATTAAAACTATGTTTTCTTTATTCAACAAACAGATCAGCCCATTACTCTCCCCTGAACTGTTCACTCTTCTGTTAGTCAATAAAAGCAATAATGATGCTTATACTGGCAAACAAGAAAATAAAGGGTCAATTAGCCTCAATACATTAGCCAGTTGTGTTGTAATTACTAGCTAACCCCGTCTTGTCAGTCTGACAGGGTTAGGAGTGATCTATCTTTGGAGAAGAGACAAGTAAAATTTCAGAATATCCTATTATTATTATGTATAAGCTATCTTATTTGAGAGATTTAAGATTTCTTATTTGTCGTCATTTTTAATAGTTTGCCTTGGAGATGCCAGCAAATGTTGCAGAGTTACATGAACAACAAAAGAGAATAGTGTTGTACTGAATATGATATTTGCGATACAATGCAAAAAGGATGTAAGAACAGAGAAGTCAAACTACATTACTGTAGTTTTTGTAACAGATATTAGTAGAGCAGAAAGTATATTTTTTTTGACATGGCAGAATTACACATAAAGGAATCCATTTTATCTTTAATAATGAGAAAGATTCACTGGAACCAGCTTCTATAATGTGAATATTTTGCTTATTTTCTTTACTTTCTTTATTATGATAGTAAGCTTTTTTGTGCCCATTGGTTGGAAAAAACAAGCAATTTCAAAATGTCTACATGGACCCTTGGAAATTGTGTTTTCATTTTAAAGACCACACAATGAGAAAAAAATCGTCAGATTATTCAATAATATAAATAATTGGCAGTTGCAGTTCTACAAAGCTAACACAAAAATCTTAATTACTCATTTTGTTTGTTTTTAATAATAATTTGCTTGAAATCACAGAGTTGAATTTGAACAAGAACACGTTATGATCATATCGTCACTGTATGATTCCAACAAAAGTTGATATAAACTAGGAGTGCATCGATCCAACCTCTGTTCTCCTAATACTAATTCTGATACCTCAACTCAGGGTATCTGCCAATACCAAGAACTGATCTGAGTGTTTCCTTTTTCCCAGATTTTAAATCTGTAGATCTACTGTAGCTGTGGGGAACTTAACAGAATTTTTGTGTTTAGTAATATGAAAACTCGGTCACTTGTCTGAACGACTGAATTTAAAAACTGAATTTTATGATGATATTGAAAAAGACGTGTTATGGCCAATACCTAATCAGCTCAATCAGGTTATATTAGCACTTGTATGGATATATACTACATATGCAATAATAGTGAATAAATGTCCCACCCAAAATTTAGTGCAGTAGTTCTAGCATCCTTTATTGTAGAGTTTCTCTGCTTTCAAACAATTTCACAGATTGACGTGTGTACATCCCTCAGTTTGTCTGTGTGTGTGTGTGTGTGTGTGTGTGTGTGTGTGTGTGTGTGTGTGTGTGTGGGGATATGCATTGACAAACACCTTTACACAGACGTTTAGACATTTGTGTGTGCGTGTACTTGTGTTTGTATTTCCGCATTGTGAACCTGTGTGTCGACATACCTGCTGGGCTGTGCTGAATTGACTGGGCCCGGTCAGCATGAGTAAGCAGCCAGGGGAAGATTGAGGCAGCCAGATGTGGCGGCCCTGGGCTACCGAGGATATCATTACTCCGGGTGTGTAGCCGGCCAAAACGGGAGCCCCCAAGTGGAGTTTCATCAAGGTGGACCCCCCGTCTGCGGTGAGGGGGAGGATACCAGTTAACCTGTTGTCCTGCAGTGAGGAGCGGTATTAAGCGGCAGGTGGAAAGAGAAAGCATCCCGTGACTAGAATGTGGTGGAAACAAGAAAGTGTGCAGACACATTCAAACTGTGGAAGACTGTCCTATTTGATTTCTATTCCCTGCTTCTTTTGCAACTCAATAGGAAACCCTCTAGTGCCACTGTGTGTGTGTGTGTGTGTGTGTGTGTGTGTGTGTGTGTGTGTGTGTGTGTGTGTGTGTGTGTGCACATTTTAAGTTTTTTTATTATCCTTGCTAAACCATGAGTCTTACTTGTATAGCTTTCACTTTAGTTAAAACACACACAGAAATGTCCACTCCATGGAAATATCCAGGATATTTTTGGTGCAGGACTTTGACAGAACAACTTGATACATGGCTGCTGGCAAAGAGATCAGCAGTATCTTCATACGGGAATTGGACCGTCTCCCCTCAGTGAGGTAACCCATAGGCCATGAATCACGCTGCCTTGCTCCAGAGTCCTGTGGTCCCGGGGGTTGACAGTTTGACCGCTCCTCAATGTGGTCTCTCTCCTCTACTCACGCTCCTCCCATCCCCATCGCCACACATTCCAACCACCGGACCGGTCACGTAAGGTCAAGAAAATAAAATAGAATAGAGCAGGATAGAATAGAAGTTGTGTGTAATGTATTTATCCCAATGTTAATTAGCAGGACCACATTTGCTGTTTCACATCCTGAGGCCTTTGCAGATTGATTACCTCAGTTTGTGGAGGGGAAGAGTGACTGATGGATGTCAAAAAAAGAACAACATCAGAGAGAAATGAAGCTCTTCAAAGTAAAGAATGGAGGAGGAGACAAAGGGGCATTGAAGAAGGGTATTCCTGTGCGTTTCTGTTTGCAGCTTGTCTGTTTTGGCAGGCCTGACATGGAGCTAGTCTGGCAGTCTGCCTGTCTGGTCCTCTCTGGTCTCTCCTCCATACTGGTGGGTCACTGGTGTTTGGATCACTACAGCTGGCTGTTAACCACCGACTTGGATAGAGCCTCATCGCCATGTGTTTGATTTAGCTTAGTCATTTATTATATACACACAGTATGAAAATTAAAGTCATATATCAAAAACTTAATCTTGGAACTGAAAAAGAAAAGAAAACACAAAGACAGGGTGAGAGGAAGGATGTACCGGGAAGCCTAAAATAAGGAATAAAATAAGGCCAGAAACTATTGTAATCATAATAATAAAATCACTGATGTGTCCCACCAGTTACAATCATATTTGTACCAGCGATTCATCAAAAGCTTTGGCGAGTCCAAGTGATAAATGGACAGTTCATCCGGTGCAAGAGCGGCCCTTGAGTGAGTGGTTTTAACTGTGCCCCAGGCCATACTCCAGCTGAGTTAAACACACCCCGACGTGCGTGCATGTGAGTGTGAGCGAGAGACATGACACGTCTGAGGGTGTGATGTAGTCACTTCCTCCCACTGGACTGAACGACTGTTGTCAGCTTGACCCTGCGCCAGTTAACCCCTCTCCACCCCTGGCACTGCGGGCGAGGGCCTCTGGTGTGTGTGTGTTTGATAGAGAGAGAGAGAAAGAAAGACAGATTGTATGTGTGCGTAGCGTGTGTGTTGGCAGACCACAGGTGTCTGGTCACGGTGTCAGGGTGTTAAGAGGTCTTCTGAGAGGCCCTCCTAGTCGGAGAGTCTCAGCATCTGTTTCGTGGGGCGGGGGAGCGGCAGAAAAGAGGAGGAGAGGTTGGCAAGGGTTACCAACACATACCCCGAGGGGCCTGGGGGCTTGTTGGGGGGCAGTAGCTGACAAGCAGGTGCCTATGTTGACAGTAACCCTTCATACTTGAACCCCACCTCCTCCCAAACACACACGCACACTGCACACACTTACAATAAATCCTGGAGAGTCAAGCGTAATTGCAGAGCCTGATTGGGGGGAATGCAGAGGGAATCCCCTTTTACACACACACACACACACACATCATTGAATCTTTTTTCGCTTGGGGTCAGAGTTGAGAGAAAAAGACGAGAGCACACCAAACTCTGACATTTCCTTCTGTGTGTGTGTGTGTGTGTGTGTGTGATTTGCATGCACAGTAACCGAAATGTCCACACGTGCGGACCATGTGAACACACAGGGTGCAGGGGCTTTTTTCCTGCTATGTATCTTTTCCAAGACAGTGCAAACTTAATATACATAATATACATATGTAACAGTAAAAGAAAATCTGCAGAATTTATGCTCCACATTTTTGTGTTTGCTATAAAACAAAATGTGCGTGTGTTTTGTAAATGAAACCCATTTGGACCAAATGTTAGTTAGTCAGGTGTACCGGTGCATGTCTGGGAGTGATTATTTTGGTAAGAAGGGGGGGAAGGCAGTACACAGCGGGGGGTTGAGGAAAATTGGAACAGCTGTTGATTAACATGAGTGCTCTCTCTCTCTTTCCTTCTTTTTTACTCTCTCACAGTAGAGGAGGAGGAGGAAGATGAGGAGATGATGGAGGTGAAGCCAGGCCCTGAGTCGGAGCAGCAGGATGAAGACGACAACAGAGAAACCAAAGAAGGTACAAAGGATGGATGAACGATGGAAGAGTAAAAATGCTCAGCTATTATCATTTTAATGGTTTTCTTAAATTCAGTAAATCTCCTCCTGCATAAATTTACTTAATTTATGTAGCTGTTGTGCCAAACACAAAACTTTCCATTCTTTATCCTCCAGTCTCCTTCTTCCCTCGACTTCTCACATGTTGTTGGTCAAACTGTCACGAAACATGGTCACTTGTGTGTGACACCCTCTCCCAGTCAGTGGGTGTATCAGATGGAAGGGTGGGGGTAGGTTATGGTGGGGGTTAAGTCGGGTCCAGCATATCAGCTCCATGGCATGTTGGGGTCAGTGCTGATTAAAAACCTGTCACTTGACCCCCCGACTACACTTCAAAGTGAAGAGGAATGGAGAAGTGTGTGTGTGCATGCGTATGCGGAGGGTTCATATAGTAAAATAAGGAGAAAAGGCTTTGGGTTGGTAAAAACAGTTGATGGACACACAGATGGGTTGACATATTCATATTCAGCCACACATGCATACACAATCCTGACTGTACTAACTGTGACTCAAACACAGAGACAGACAGATGTAAGCACGCACGCACTTTTAAACACACAGTCATCCGTCTCCTCTCCATCCTGGCCCATTAGAAGGTCTGGCCTTTGATCTCTGCCACTCGATTCACTGAGTCTTTTCTGACAACTCGTAAGAAATACAAAGGGATGAGGGGGATCAAAGTCAAGAGGCAGGGTAAAGGTCGATATATGTGTGTCTGTGCGTGCTTGTGTGTGTAAAATCGCATTTGTGCTTGGGGACAGTGACTTCAAAAAACGGACGCCGTGCTGTGCAGCCATTACGTTCAAAGGGAGGCGGGTCGCTCACAGGGCTTTTGTTTTCCTCTTGTTTATGAAGTTCTTACTGTAGGGTTTTATTAGAAAAGATGCATTAGGTACTGTTTGTAGTTTATTATTTCCTGGATGGGATTCTGGTTTTGATAGAGATGAAGTGAATGTTAATCTGACATCGGAAGCACACAATGTACTCTTTATATTTATTGCAGAAGTAGACATGACAGTACTATATGTACTGTACTATATGCAGTAAGATTCAGTAACATATCTTTACTATTGTCAGTAACTAAAAGTATAATGTCACAATGTCAGTTGATTAGAATAAATAGACATTTCTCAGTTTGGGGCTCTTGAACAGTAATTGAGAGCAACAGTGGTTTTGACAGCTATTTCCAAACTAAAACGTGCCTGTATTTTGCAGGTCACATCAAATACTAAATACTTAATATTTCTATGTATGATCTGTACGTTCAAATGCATGATTATATGTTTGTTAAGATATATAAATAATATCAATGGGGGCCTATATTTGCAAAAACAAAAGAGCTGCAACTCCCTATAATAAACAGCAACGACTTATGCCCATTACTATTTATATTACTTTAATGCAGGTTTTTTCACTTCAAGTTATCAAATTCATCACTTGTTGAGAGAGAGAGAGAAAAAAAGGGCTCCTGCTTTACTTTTAGTTTTACTATTCCACTCTATCTATTTCCATGACCCCTTTGTTCATTATTATTTGTGGTATTATTGGTTATAAGAAACCTTTTCCAGAAATAAAGTACTTTGATAATCGATGAATTATCCAAGTTCCTTTTCATGCAAAAATGCCCAACATTCCCTTTCAAACATATATTTATAGAACTAATAATAGTTATATTGGTGAAATGAATCAATAATTATAAAATACTAATATAACTGTAAACCTTAGTGCTAACACCTTATGCGTATGTTCCTTCCACCAGGCTCGGTGCTGCGGGAGCTGACGGAGGAGGAGAGGCAGCAGATCCTGCACTCCTCCGAGTTTCAGAGTTTCTTCGACTGCAGCATCCGGGTGATGGAGAGAGCTCTGGCTGAAGACAGCAACATCTTCTTTGACTACAGCGGCCGGGACCTGGAGGACAAAGAGGGGTGAGCAGGGAGGAGGGGGGAAGTAGGGAAGGAGGAAAGTCTCTGTGTTTGGATGTGAGAGCACATGTGAGTGTTTACTTGCATGCCACAAACTAGGAGACTGACTCATGCCCACTGTGTCACTCTAGGGGCCTGGGAGCTCCTTTGTTCTTCAAAATACATGTCTTCCTGCTGATGTCACACTTTCACGGGGTTAAAAACTCCTTCTGAAGGGCTGCCTCCAAATGGAGGTTATCAAAGTGTTGGTTGAAGGTATAAGAGTCATAAGTGCAAAGCTGTTTTAGTATACTGCTCTGCTATTATAGAAGAATGCTGCTTTAACCAGCTCACTTCAACTTTGACCACGGCAGCCACAGAGGAGCATCAAGCCTGTGGTCAAATAGAGATTATGTCTAAAACAGGCCATGGCTCAGTGCTTAACATCAGTCCTCTTCTTTTTTCCGTAGACATGCTATTTGTGAAATTGTAACGACATAACCTACATTTCACTACCAGTACCACTACCATACTATTGCAGACAAAGTGGATAATTTCCACGTATTAGTGCACAGAATTCGTTGTAATTAGCACTCAAATAGAAGTCGACCCACAACAGAAGGTCAGCTTTCCTCTCACACAGCTGACATGGACGAATAGATGGAAACAAAAAACAGCTCAAGCTCTCAAGCGGCCAATGACACAACAATCTGCATGGGATCTGATTTGACCACAGGCAACATGCTGGCTGAAATTACTGACTCACTAGAGTTAACAGCCATTCAGACAGCTCTCTCAATTGATGTCAATTCAGTAGAGCCGGCAGTGCCAAAAACAACTATGCAACTACGCCGTTTCTTTTATTTGTTACACAGAAAGACATCAACTGTTTTTTAAAACCTTTGTAACCAAGGTGTGCTTTGGTCCTTAAAGACTATTTTTGACTTAAAGTAATGTACTTTCAGTAAATTTGTGTCATGATATGATATGATATGTGATATAATATGACTTATGATATAATTTCACTTAGCTATCAGTAAAGTGTAGTGCACCTCAGTGATTGTGTCAGTGATTAGTGTCAGCTGTTAAAGGACCCACCCAGCAATACTTTAAGGTTAAAAAGCTTCTCCACCTCCTCAATTCTTACTATAGTTAGTACACTTACCCAGATTAAAGGTACCTTATCAGTGATCACAAATGACCCCTGCCAACAAATGGCTTTTTTTTTTTTTCTTGGCAGGTACCTATTTACGTCGGCACGTACCTCTCGACTGGAACAAATCTGTTGTCTTCAGGTTTGATCACAAAATAATGTCTGACCGTTATCTCTACTGTCTTTTTTCAGAGACTTGGGTAGCGGCTCCAGCCTGTCATTCAGCAGACTCTTCTATGATGAACACTGGTCGAAACATCGTGTGATCACCTGCCTTGACTGGTCCCCCCAGGTGAGGCCTGCAGCTTTGTGAATGTCACTTTGAATTTGTGAAGATTTTCTTTTATTTTACAAAACTATGTGTTTCCAAATTTGAAGTCTTGGCACTAATTATGCTGGTGTTCAGCATCACTATTGTATGTATCTCTGTATTGTATGACCCTCTCTGCCTCTGTCGTCCCTCCTTTCCTCTGTCTCTCTCTCTCTCTCTCTCTCTCTCTCTCTCAGTATCCTGAGTTGCTGGTTGCCTCCTATAACAATAATGAAGATGCTCCTCACGAACCTGATGGCGTTGCCCTAGTATGGAACATCAAATTTAAGAAGAACACACCAGAGTACATCTTTCACTGTCAGGTACTGGGTACTTACACTTATCAAAACTCCCACATGTTTCTAAACTAAAGAATATGATGGCAGCCTTGACTGCAGGTTACTGTGGAGAAGAAGTTAGTTTAGCTCTTTTATTTTTTTCCTTTGTTTTGTTGGGTGGTAAGTTTGAACTTACCAGCAACTGCCACAAAGCTGCATGCTGATAAAAGAACAAAACATCTATTACCTTTCCTCTTATCTCCTTGTTTGTGCACAGAATTTCACACTCAAAACCATCATTCTTTTCCTTAATTTGTCATACTTTATCTAGGAAACCAACTATCGGCCCTGTGAACTACAGCTTGTTTCTCTTCTCTAGAGTGAAGCAAAGGGAAATGAAAGGCAGCACCACATGCGTTCATTTCACTCTCTAGATTGGATTATAGCGGAGCGCTGCCACCGGAGGCCAGTTTTAATGCAAGAAACCCATTGATGGGTGTGATGCTAATAGCAAATGACACTGAGAAAACGGTAGAAGGAGGGAGGGAGGGGAGAAGGGATGGGAGGATTGGGTGTGAGGGCTTCACGGCTCCCACGAGACAGGCAAGGCCATATAGAGACTTCTTGGTAGTAATATGATGTGGCCTACCACTTCCTAATCCATTGCTGCCACATGTCTGTGTTAGCCCACCCACAATGATGCTGCGTCTAATGTCAGCAGTGCTGTGTTTCCCAATAACTGAAAGTCCTCCTCATACACATCACTGTAAATGTGGAAATACACCTGTAATAGTATTAATGTCAATGGCGTTCACCTCATTGCTTAGACGTAATGTTAGAAATGCTCACACATACTCTCACATTCAAGCTTCATTGAAACAGAGGAAATACATGTTCTTTTTTTTTCTCTAACACATGCAGGACCACATATTCCTGCAGACCGCATACTGCGTGCAAATATTTCGATACGAAGCTTGCCATATAAGTCTAGCTCTGTAATGGATTTTTAAAGCACGCCACTCTTTCACTGCACCATAATTTATGCCGCTGCTGAAATCCATGTGGTCTTATGGATAGATTACAGCTATGCATCTTGTAGCTGTAGGATTCAGTAGTTTTTCCATGTGGTTCTCTGAGGAAATATGTACAGTGCATCTGACTTTATTAACAATGTGGTTTCTGAGCATGCTGATCTGTGAATTGTCAGCGTTGAACATTAGACGTTTGGGAACAAGGATATTTGTGTAAGTGGCTGATCAGAAGGGGGCAATCAGCTGCAAATGTGTACAACAGAGGTGGACCCTGTTCAGGTTTTAAGATCACTGGAATACAGTGGTCATCCATCCATCCATCCATCGTCAACCGCTTATCCTGCATACAGGGGGGAATACAGTGGTCTCCAATCACAAACACAGAACTGGTTATGTGTAACATAACAAAGCATCATCATTGTTTTTGATTCTCCTACACATACAAAGCACTTCTGCAAACACAGTCCACATGCAGAGATTTTATTCAAGTGAGTGTTTACTGGAAATATGTGCGTAAGATGAAGTGATACGAGGTGGAGAAAAGACAGAAGACAAACTGAGAGAGAACAGAAATTCCCAAGTGCCCCACTTTCCTAACTTACCCCTAATCCCCCCCACCCCCTTGCTGGTCAGTGAGTTAGTGTGGCCTGGGGCTGTGCCATAGTCTTTTCATGAGGGGAGAAAGAAATGTGAATGACAGAGAAACGTAGAAAGAACGATAGATTGTTGAGCAAATGTTGGGGGACTTTGAAACGGAGTGCCCGTATAAACAGTAGAGGATACAGTGCAGATAGAGTAAAATAGAAAGAACGAAGAAGTTGCACGTCATTTGGAAGCAGCCGTGACTTCCCCTGTCACTGTTTGATTTGGATGAAAGGAGCACAGGAGTGGTTAGACAGAAGGAGGAGTCATTTTTTCTTGCTCTTTCTTTCCGCGGGGGCCTTTTGCAAACAGTTGCGACTCTCTAGTTAGCCGCGGGATCAGATGGCTCTTAATGTGCGAGCATGTTCTGCCGTTTAACCCCCCAAAACCACAGGGCTGGGTGCCTCTTCCCCTTTCTGTCTCTTCTTTCTCCTATTTTTCTTTTCACCTTCCACCTCCCATCCTTAGCTAGAGAAACAAAAGATTCAAGCTTGCATCTGTGATCATACACACTTGCTGTTTACTGTGCAGATGCAGTTCCGCACATACACAAATACACACACACACACACACACACACACACACACACATGGGTAGGCGCTCATTGCTGCTGTTGGCAGCCCCCAGCAGACTATACAACTGTATTTCATTTTTGTTTTTACAGTCTTACCCCACAGAAGCAGCCATCATGTGGATGGATAGGTAAATGGCTGAATACTATGTGTATGCACATGTTTACGCGAGTATTGTACACATGTGTAAAGGCTGTGGCGTGTGTGTGTGTGTGTGTGTTCGTGTTTGGAGGATACAAAAGAATGACAGTGCTGGGTCGGTATTGGAGGTTGGGGTTTGTGGTTGAGGTCTGGGTCTGCAGGGGCTTTATTGTATAAGGCAATGGCTCATAGTAGGCTTCATGTTTCAGATGGGGTTTTGGTGAGGTCAAGCTTCTTTATTTCATGCCTGGCTGTGTGCAGTTAGGTGAATGAGCAAAGCAAAAAACAACATTTAACCTCATATTCAGAATTTAACTCTTTGTCTAAACATGGAAAAATCTACTTGTTGGGGTTAAATAATATCAGTTGTTCTTTTTTGAGATGTATTTTGATGCAAGATAGAATAAGAAGGATTATCCTCTCTTATAAAAGTCTTGCTTATTTGCATTGGACACTACACAATGAGTCCTTAAAGAACAATTACCCAAATTTTACTTTGCAGCAGTGTTGTCGAGGTCTTTGACGTCTAGAAGTTTAAAAGCTGGCGTTGGTTTGATTTTGGGAGGAGTCTCAGTGTGTCAGACAAGTGCAATCTGGGGATTGTGCTCTTAACATTTTTGGCAATATGCAACTGTGTTGTAATATTGCATTCTAATGCAATAGTTAGACTGACAGGTCCTGGTTTGAAAAATGTTGTTCCCTAGTGGAGTAAACAAATGTCGCAGAAATCTGACAGAGATGCATTTAATGTTCCATCTCTCTCTCTTCTTGCTTTGCTGTATCCTTTCCTCCCATATTTAAGCTCTTATTAATTTACCTTACATTTCTTTATTACAACCACTCACAGGAATACTGTGGCCTTCAAGCTTATTACTTGCTTGGCCAGTTGGTTGTGATGTTGATAATTAACTTTTTGAATATTTGTTGTTTTTGGCTCTCGGGATAAAAACTAAAATATTGAAAGCACTGTCAAACTGTAGGAAACACTGAGCTATGTTATACTGCAAATCATTTTCATTTTCAGTTTTTATTTGTTCAAAAAAAGTTGTCCAGTAGCCTAACTTGGAGCACTTTGTATACTGAGATGTGTGTGAGTGAGAGTGAGAGAAAGTCTTGTAACCTGGTACAGTTTTGGAGAAAATGTGAAAGTTACTATAATATTCACTGTTTTACAAACAATGAACATACATTTGAATGGACCCCTGGAATAATAGTGCTTATGCTTGTGCTAATTGGGATCCTAAGAAAGAAAGAAAGAAATGTTACGTTAAATAAAAGTTACAAAAATGTTTATGCTGACAATTATAGTTTGTAAAAAGAAAGCCAAAAATGCAATCAGCCCATCTCTAGGTATTTATGCCCCTTTTTCTTTGATTATCATGAAATGCATGTTACAAACAAAATAGATCATTGTTCTCTAACTGCTTCATTCTAGAAAGTGAATCAACTTTATCTGCAATTAAACAGTATCTCAGTACATTCCCCTTAAGGACCCCTGACAGTTTCATGACCTCACTTTAGGAGCCATTGATCTGTGATATAGTGGAGGAAGTGTGTGATCAATCAGTGCGTGGGTTGGGTTTGTACTTTAGGATAGGGGCTGCCGCTGATGTGGATTCTGGTACCAGTTGAGCGTGCCTCCCCTCATCACGGCCATCCCAGCAGTTGGACCCATCATCGCCCCGTCTCAGTTGGGTCCAATCTTGTAACTTCACACCAGCCTCTCAAGTGGGCAAAGTCACACCACATTAAAGGGCCCGTTTGACTTAAAACCTCTGCTCAACCCCCCAAACCACACACCTCCCTGTAACAACCCCCGCCGCTACTGTCATATTCCATTGGACTCAGTCATATTTTTATTAATATCTTGCTGCCTTGTGTCGGTCCTAGGCCTTTGGCACTTACAGAGAGTTTGAGTAAGAGAAGCAGAGTCGGAGGGAGGGCAAAGGCAGAGAGCATTAAAAAGAGAAAACAACAGTTTTCACTGGCCTTGTTTAAGAGAAGCTGTATTGTGTTCAGAAAGCTTAACAGAGAAATCTTCTATCTGCTTGCTTAACACAGGCGAAAAGACTGTGCGACTGTATTTGATTTGTGGCACATTAAATAGAATGAAACGTCTACTGGCAAAAAAATAATTCAGTGCGTTGAATTTTTAGCAAAATTTGATTATTTTATACAACTTTGACTGTGGTGATCGAAGGCTGTCTATATTGGTATTGTATGAAGTGAGTCTGGGTATGTCAGGACAAGAAGATCTAAAGAAAAAGTTAAGTGTTTTTGGAAATATGCCAATTGTCTTGCTTGACGGGAGTTAGATGATAAGATCGATACCACTGTCGTATCTGTCCGTTAAGTATAAGGCTACAACCAGCAGCTGGTTAGCTTAGCATAACGTCTGGAAACAGGGAAACAGCTAGCGAAAATCTGCATACCAGCTTCTCTGGAGCTCACTAATTAACACGTTGTATCTGAATTCAACCTACATTTTTTAGTTACAAGCAAAGTAGCATATTTACCATAATGTTAAACTAGTTCTTTTAAAAACACTGTCCATACCAAGGAGAGGTATCAAAAGAGGTATTGTTTTGACACCAGTATCAAAAAATGTCTAACAATACATACACACAGCTGCAAATTTTGTCCTGTTGTTTATATTCTC